TAATGTTTTCAGGAATTAATTATCATTTGGGGTTATGCAAAGTCTGGTGAAACGTGAGAAACATAAAGACATAACTTGGAGTTAAATATAATTGTGAGAAGACACTAGAAAGGGCCCATATTTAGGAGTACCCGAGAGTATATGGGAGTTTATTATTCTCAAGGATTAATTCATCATCTTCTTGCTGCTTTTTTGACAAGTGTGAATGACCTTAATCCATTGTTCCCCGTGTCAGTCTTCAGGGTGTTGTAAAAAATACAATTAAATTCAGATTGCATATGCGTTAGGAATTGCAATGGGGAAAGGTCTGACATTGCGATGCCCGATGGAATTTCACGTGGGTTGCATCTGTCCACTTCGAATTACAAGTTGTAATATTTTAATATTTAAATGATATTATTATTCAATTAAAAAAAATATATATATGATGAAGATTATAAGTGCGTGGGCGATTTCCCGTCACATGAAATTACGCGCTTTTAATATATAAATATTATTTTCAAGTAAAATATATAATTTTATATTTATACCAATCTTAAACATGATAAAACATAATTCCAATTAAAAATTAATACAATTCAGTAGCGAAGTGGTAAAACGGTTTGAGTCGACTCATATCCCAGTCAAGTTTTTGATGAATATTTCCGAATCTAAGAGAGATAGCGAAATTTTCGTAATTACATTTGTTGTAGCTCTCAATCGGCTTTACAAAAAAGGTTATAACAACAATTTTGCTACCTCCCTTAGATTCCGAGATATTCATTGAAAACTGGCCGATAGTCAAAATTGACTTGTGCCGGTTTACCACTTCGCTATTGAATTACTCAAAACTTCAAATGACGAAATGATAAGAGAAATAATTGACTGACCGGTCATGTCAAAGGTTGAGAAGCAAGAGAGCGAGGTGTTCCGCGTGAGGTGAAAAATAACTCGTCGAATCACAAGCGACACATTTCGTCAATTAACTAAATTATTCCAATATTTTCGCGATTGGCGCGGGATATTCGAATAACTTCAACTCATTACAAAGTCTACTAATGCTTGGTTTATTTCAAATGCCATGGAAGGTTTCTGTTTTCATTTCATGTTTTGACGAAGCATTGTGGTACGAGTCTTTGATAATCGTGTCGCATTTTCCGAGTCGTGTCGTGGACCCGGGGGTCGACGAACGGTAGCTTAAGCGTTGCGCACTGAAAATTATACGGTTGATTTACCTCTCACAAATAACCCATTCGAGATCCGTTTCAATTAACTCTATTCACGTTTTCTTGTTTCCTCCTTTGTTTATTGAATTTCTCGGGGGGCGAGTGATTAATCTAGAGGGGAGGCGATTTTTCTAGATCGGAATAAAATTCTTGAACATGTTCCTTCGAAATACGTTTACATTAGCCGTAACATTTCACGGGAAGTTATTTAAACGTCGCGTGCCGAAAATCCCCATGATTTTAGTGTTGTGTTGGCACCACTGCAGCCCGAAAGAGCAGGGGTAATCCCCGTTAGATCAGGACAGCTGTTCGGCACGAGACGCGAGAGTGCTTGGGTTTCAGGAGAGAATTTCGTGTCGTATCAGCCCATTCTTGAAGTCGGTCGTACGATTGAAAAAAACAAAAGCACTGTGAAGATAGCTGCACGAGGTAGCATAAAAGAAAATAAGAAGAAAGGCCAGCCCACTTCGCTTCGACTCGAGTAACCGGCAATCGCTCATACGATAACCTATCTCCACTTCGTTGTGGTCTTCATTACGAACTGCAAAGGTAAGAATTTGCGGAGAGAAAAAATTGTTTGTCGCTGGGACCGGTAAACCATGAATTCCACACGGTTTTCGGTCCCTAAAATATTGTATATCACAACGATAGTAGTATTTCCGACTCATGAGTCACATTCGTCGGATAATATTTGTATTGACGTTGTGACATTTAGGGAAGAGCGAAGCAAAATGGATTTTTGGTATTTTTTTCAATGTTTATAGCTCATAAACATGTCTCAATTGAATTCAATTTAGTCTAGGCTCATTGCAAAGGGAAAGAATGGCACTTTCCACGAGAAAAAAAATTATCACATTCCAGCAACAATTCAGCACGTCATTGACATTTCAAAAAAAGTTAAAAGTCCATTTTACCCCACTTTCCCCTACTAATTATGGCTCTCCAAGCAATAATACGAAGATTAGATAAAACAATATATTTTTGCCTTCCAGCAAAACTCGACATGGCCACGCCCCAAGCACTTTGTACTTCAGGAGATGAAAAGAACATTGAAATTGAACACTGGTGTTACACACCAATAAATACGACAAAGATTAATTATACTTGGGTAATTGACAATTTTGCTGAAAAGACAGCAGAGATGGTATCACCCAATTTCTCAACAGGAGTAAATGGATGCGACTTCAACTTATATTTGAGAATGTATGACATCAACACTGAAAATGGCAATGGTTACTACACGCTGTTCTCTTCTGTTGAATATGCGACCAAATATCCGATAGTGATGAACAACACATTTTCGATTATCGACAGCAACGGTGAAAAAGTTAGAAGTATTCGTCGTAATTTTAAACTAACGGGACCTGATTCCACCAACAATTCCGTAACGTTCATCATGAGAAACGACTTGATAGGCAATAAAGATGAACTACTTCCAGATGATCGACTCACATTACTTTGTGAAATGACTATAATTGAGGAAGGTCAACAGATATCAGGAAAAAGAAGCGGTAAGAATATTCGCATCCCTGAGAGTAATCTGCCTGGTCTTCTGGAGAATCTATTCGTCAATAAAGTGCACTGTGATGTGGAGTTTGTTGTCGGTCCAAATAGTGACAAGATTCGAGCCCACAAAGCCATTCTGACAGTTAGAAGTTCAGTTTTTCGAGCGACATTTGAGAATGAATCAAAAGAGAGCAAAGATAATCAAGTTGTGGTTAATGATTTTGCACCAGAAATTTTCACTGAGATGTTGAGATTCATTTACACGGATAAAGTGGAGAATTTGAACGATATCGCATCAGATTTGTTGATCGTTGCTAATTACTATGATTTGAACCGATTGAAAATGATGTGTGAAGAGTCTCTTTATCGAAATCTCACTATTGAAAATGCTGCTGAGACTCTCCATCATGCTGATCTCCACAATGCAAACACCTTGAAGCATCGTACCCAGGATTTTATTAAAAAATATGCTAAAGCATTCATAAAAACAGCAGGATTCCAGACGATGGAGGGGGAAAATCCACAGATGACAAGCGAGACCCTAAAAATGCTGACGAATAATCCAATGATATATCCAGTACTATCTGAAATTGACAATTTTCTTCTGAACGCTGAATTGAGCGATCTTACTCTCGTTGTTGAAGGAGAAGAATTACATGCTCATAAAGTAATTCTAGCTACACAGAGCCCAGTATTCGCAGAGACCTTCAGAGCCTCTTCAACTACACCCAATCGATTGGTTATTAATGACATTCAAAGTGTTATCATGAAGGAAGTTCTAACCTATTGCTACACAGGAGAGCTGAGAGAAGTGTATGACGTTGAGATCTTGCTGAAAGTACTGGCCGTGGCTGAGACTTATCAGATAAAAAAACTGAAGGACATGTGTGCTAGTATCCTGGGGAAGAAACTGACGATTGACACAGCCGTGTCCATTCTGATTGAAGCAGATGACTACGATGTGCCAAAGTTATCGAAGAAAACCTTCGATTTTATACAGACGAATAAAGCAAAAATTCTATCTCTAGATAACTTCAAACTACTCTGCACTAAAAAACCAGAGTTATTGTTCAAAGTATTGGCTCTGAATGTCGAGAAATAATTTTCATGTGTGTGGACTCTGTTATCCAAATAATATACTCTATTATCTACAGACGGAAGAGCGAGTTATCTTTTTTACATTTTCTCAGAATAGATTTTCTGAAATTGATAATCATAATGTTTTTTAATACTGAAAATTTATGTATTCCAGTTGTACGTCACTAGAGATCAAATAAAATATGGTCTATTAAAATTTCTTGAATCATGCGAGTAAGTGAAGTATTCATTTTTTCTCATTTTGTATTTCGGCCTTCGGCGAGCCTCGTCTCTGATTTACCGACGCCTCGTCCTTATGATACAATATACTATTTCTGTAGTGCGAATTAAGGGCTGCAAAAAAGGTGATGGCAAAAATTTTGCTATCGCCCTTAGATTTCGAGATATTCATTGAAAATTGGCCAGTAGTCAAAATTGACTTGAACCGTTTTACCGTTTCGCTAATGAATTTCTCGGGAAATGATTGATAATTTTCAGGAACAGAAGACGTCTTTAGATTCAAAGAGAATTCCATCATAAACTCGTCGAAATCTCTACCCATCGATAAAATGACCCATACAACATCATTCGTTTTTTTTCGTGCGTACATTTCGTGGAATGTCATATCCAGTCCTTTTTATCGGCGACTGAAATTAGATGCTCCATCCGCGAGGTTTGATTCATAGGGGGGGTTGTAGGGATGTAGGGATTGAGATATGATGGGGGGTGCGTTTCGGAATCAACTACCGTAGCTGCAGTAAAGCGAAATTAGATAGGGTTACAGTACTGCTACTGCTACTAAGTCGATTGCGAAACGCGCCCTGAAAAGGCTTGAATCAATCCTCTACTAACAATTAATGTAAAATTGTTGTTTATTACTAAACGCGTCTTAGAGATATTTACAAGTGATGGGAGAAAATGGTGACTCCCGAGTATTCGGCGGTCAGTGCCGGACTGAATATAATATTCGCAAAAGGCGGGAATTCGGATGCGCGTTCCAATAGGTGCGAGTGAGAAGTATACATTTTATTAACGCGTGACAGAGAGCGATGGTATCACTGATGTCCAAACATCTCAACTACGCACGTGTCGTGTCCGTGTACTAATGCGTAAATGTGGGTGTAGCGCGGTGATAAGGGGGGTCGCAAAAGTGAGGGCATGCTCTGAAGTTTGCGTGGACAAGTCAATCACGTCAACCTTGCATGGAGAAGAGGCCCGCATATTCCGTCTCGGCGTGAGTTTTTGGTAATTTGGTTAAAGTTTAGTACCAGTCCATTCTGCTTCATCTAACTCCTTGCCCCGTTCTCTAATGTCGTGACTCTTCAGACATCTTTATTCACAAAGAAGGTAAGCATGATAAAAAATTGAGATCTATTGTCTGAAAACGATTCTATGTCATTTTTTTTACTCACAGCAACCTCGCGATGGCCATGCAACCAAACGATATTAAAATCAAACACTGGTGCTTCAGGCCCATAGAAACAACCCAGATCGATTACACCTGGATAATCGATAATTTTAGTGGCGAGTTATCACCTATATCATCGCCTGATTTTTCAAGTCGGACCCAGAATACGCACTTCAAATTAAGATTGCAAATGAATGAAATCAACAGTTCGAATCACAATGGTTTTTATTCCATTCTCATAATCTTTCTTTCCACTGTGAAACGACCACTGACAATAAAGTTTATTTTTTCAATCGTCGATAACAACGGTAAAAAAGCAAGAAGCATCTGTGATGAAGTTACATATGACGGTAGAGAGCCCTCTCCAATAACTTTCATAACGAAACGAGATTTGATTGCTAATAAAGACAAATTACTTCCGAATGATCGACTCACATTGCTTTGTGGAATGAGTGTGATTGAAAAGGGTGAAGAGATCTCGGGACAAACTCGTAATGCCAATCTGAGGATTCCTGAGAGTGACCTCCCCGATAATTTGGAATATATATTCGTCAATAAAATTCAGTGCGATGTGGAATTAATTGTCGGTCCTGATGATAAGAAGATTCAGGCCCACAAAGCCATTTTAGTCGCTCGGAGTTCACATTTCCGGGGAATGTTTGAGAATGATACAGAAGAAAGTAAAAACAATCAAGTTACTATCATGAATTTCTCACCCGACATGATCAATGAAATGTTGAAATTCATGTACACCGATCGAGTTGACAATTTGGATGACACGGCAAAAGATTTATTTATCATCGCTAACTATTATGATTTAGAAAGATTGAACATAATGTGTCAAGAATCTCTGACTAGAAACCTCACAATTGAAAATTGTGCTGAAACTCTTCTCCTTGCTGATCTTCACAATGCTGATGCCTTGAGGCGTCGTACCCTGGATTTCATCAACAGACATGCGAAAGAAGTTGTTCAAACAGCTGGATTTCAGGCGATCGATGAGAACCATCCGAGACTTGCAATCGAGATTTCAACAATTTCGAGGAATAATCCAATGATATGTCCAGTATTATCTGCAATAGATCATCTTTTTTTGAATTCTAAATTGAGTGACGTTACTCTTGTCATCGGTGAGGAACAATTATTTGCGCACAAAGTCGTCTTAGCTGCACAGAGCCCAACTTTTGCAGGGTATTTCGAAACTTCAAAAACACTGAATCGATTGGAGATTCTAAACATTGAGAGTGTGATCATGAAGGAAGTACTGGCATTTTTCTATACTGGAGTGCTTAGAGAAGAGGATGACATCATCATTGTGCTGAAAGTATTGGCTGTTGCTGAGATCTATAAGATTAGGAAGTTAAAGGAACTGTGTGTCAGTAATCTATTGAAGAAGATATCGATCGATACAGTTGTGCCTATCTTGATCGAAGCAGGTGACTACAGTGTACCAGAGCTGTCAAAGAAAGCCTTGGACTTCATTCAGACGAATAAAGCAAAAATCCTGTCTTTGGATAACTTTAAGCTACTCTGCAGCAAGAAACCAGAGCTGTTGTTCAAAATATTGGCTCTGGATATCCAGAAATAATTTTTCAAACCTATGAACTGTTACTAAAATATGTTTAAACGTTATCTTTCATACCTTCTGTCCATTTACAAACAAACGAGTGAGTTATATTTTTCCTGAATTATGAAATGATTAGTCTTCAAAATGTTTTATGAGAAATACGATGGATTCACCCAAACTATGTATTCAATATCATTCCACATGAATAAACGATGATTTTCCAAGAGTCTTCATTTTTTTAAGTTCTTCAATCCCTCCCAGAACAACTGTAATCACAATTGCTAAAATATTCATCCATCCCCGATCACTTAAATTCCAGCAACAAAATGCGGCCATCCAGCGGTGCCAATGAACTCTAAAGTATCACTGTCAGACGATTCTCTGTCATCCGGCACAATAGCGACTTACACCTGTGATGCTGGTTACGAGCTCTTTGGGTAAGTTCCAAGATCACCGGGCAATTACCAAGACAATTAACCAAGGCAATGTTTAACGGTGTTCTTCCCCCACTCACCAACAGTTCGATACACTGCGATAACCACCGGGTGTCGGGATATCACTTAAATTCCCTTGTCTCTTTTGTTCCAAGTTGAATGTTATCTTTCATGTCATTTTCCATCTCCTTTTCTTACAACCGGAAAATCATAACATTTTACTCGGCGGCGAAGGCCTTGCGCGCTTGAAATAGATTCCACGTAATTACCAGAATTCACTCGAGCATGAAATCGCCAATGGCGAAGAATATCTCTACATTCGAAATGAATTCAATCCGACTCATAAGAATTTCATGCATTCAACTGTAATCACGATCTTCAGCACTGACCGCAGGCCTTTCCTTCCATCTTTACACATCGCTGTTAGAGAAAAATTGAAATGTCATGGACAGTCGGAAGACTTCAGGCCAGCCGCATAGAATTAAACTTAGGGAGGAAAAATAAATAAATTTCATATTATTATGAAACTTCGATGGAATTTCAAAATTTACAAAGATAATTCATCGAATAAATGAACTGAAATTGACAGTTTTTGAAGATTTTTTCATGTATTCAACTGTAATCATGATCTTCAGCACTAATCACGAACCTTTCCTTTCATTTTCACACATCACTATTAGAAAAAAATTAAAATTTCGAATTTTTTCTACAAATTCAAGAGGGAATTCAAAGGAAAAAAATTAAATTTCAGAGACAATCTAGTAGTAATTTCCAGAAGAGCGACATTGAATTACGTCTTAGGGAGAAACTCATGAAATTTCAAATATCCCCGAAAATTCAGGAGAATATCCAAATTGTTAATATCGGTTTTCAATTATTCATGGAGTAATTGAAGTAAAATTGTGAGTTTTTAAGAATTTTTTCATGCATTCAACTGTAATCACGATTTACAGCGCTGATCACTATTACAAAAAAAATTATAATATCAAATTCATCTAAAAATTCAAGAGAATGACAGAAAAAAAAGAAATTTAATGAACAGTTTAGTAGTCATTTTCAGGAGAGCGATATTAAATTACATGGGGGGGGGGGGGAATTATGAAATTTCAAATTACCCTGAAAATTCAAGGGAATGTTAAGATTTTTAACTGCAGTTTTCATCAATTAAAGAATCATGGAATAATTGAACTAAAGTGTTCAGTTTCCACTGATTAATTCACGAAACTGTGAATTTCCAATGACGAAATTACTCGAAATTCCCGTAGATCTGAACACTGATAAAAATTTCCCAGAAGTGTACCAGAAATTTCAGTCCAAAGTTTCTAAAACTGATCAATATAAATGCTCCCAACATTGAAACGAACCACTTCCCGCCGAAAAAATGAATCAAACCGACTTAACATGATTCTGCCCACGAGATTAATGCAACTATCGCGCCCCAACACGTGACCATCTACACTCAAGTTTCCTAGTTACGTCCACGCATGCCTCCTTACGTTGTCCGACCGACCGAGACCCAGGCGATTTCATCCATTGATAATCGTCATCGTTGAAATGCCAACTTTCACCGGAATCGGACTGCCCATATTCTTTGTCATCGAGCCCCGAAATTTTATTACATCACTTCCTTCACAATTGACTTGTCCATATCATTTCCAAGTCAACAGGTTGTAATGCTTCATTTTTCCCCAGGCAATCCACCTTGACATGCAGTAACCAAGGGAAATGGCAGGGGGAATTACCGTTCTGCGGTGAGCTGATTGAATTATTGATATGACTAATGCTCTCATTGAACCGTTGCAATTAGCATAAGAAAATCGTAATAATGAAATGATACATTCAGGGACGAATGTTGGCTATCGCAAGCCAGCGAATCAATCAACAACCGTTAGAGGTGGTGATGCTGGTCATGGTAATGACGGAGATGTTGGGACTGAGCACGACGGCAAGAGGTGCACCGAGACACAGAGGGAGCCCAGTCCCTGGTGGAGGGTCGATTTGCTCAAGCCTTACGCGGTGAAAGTCGTCCGGGTGACGACCAGAGGCTGCTGTGGTCATCAACCACTTCAGGACATTGAAATTAGAGTTGGTAATAGCAGTGCGGAATTACAGAGGAATCCACTTTGCGCATGGTTTCCTGGAACAATTGGTGAGCGAAGAAATCGAGTTGTTCTTCCGCTAGGAATCTCAACATTTCCTGATGAACGATTTTTTTTTCTCGCAGAGGAAGGGATCACCAAGACTTTCGCCTGTGCCAGAGCCCTTGTGGGCCAGTACGTTTTCCTTCAACTTGTCGGGGTTGAGGGGAGCTTGAGCCTCTGCGAAGTTGAAGTATTCGCTACAGACGGTAAATATCGTCTGTTAAAGTAGCTTTACCCTCGACGATGTGCTCTACAGATTTGTCAATCCTCAGTTATTTAATTTTTTTAATTCTTAATTTAATTTAAAAATATTTCCAATCATTTATCAATTTTTTTCAGATCTAATGAAAACAAATAAGATTTTAATCTTTAATCATAATGAAAATGTTGATGTTAACATAAAATTCTGAAACAGTTATTAAATTGAGGAAAAAATTACGATGAAGTTTTCAGGAATTTTTTTGCAGTTTTTAATGATCGTTGAATTAATCGTAAGGGTAGAGGTACTTTAAATGGAATAAAGTCACGTTGTGGCCTAGATTTCACAACGATCACCGCATGCTCCCTTTCAGAATTCTCGATAGACAGATGTGCACACGCAGGAACACCAGCGGAGGCTGATCTCGCTGCGTTCAACTCCACTTGTTATGAATTTGTTGTTACTAAAGGGGGATCCTTCCAGGATGCCAGGAATTATTGCAAGTCCAGGAGTGGCGATCTTGTTCATGGTTTCAAGGTGTGTCATCGGAATAAAAATTAACCCGGAGAGAAAGGATTTTGGATTTTCAGGAACATCATGCACGAAAAAAATTAACAGAAAATATTCTGTGGAAAAACGCAACGGCATTCGATTTTTCTGTACAACTTATTCTATTGAGATATTTTCTATAGAATTTTCTATAGAAGTTTTTTTCATTCCAGTTTTTCTTTTCTTTTCATCAAGAAAATTATACAAAATAACTTAAACGATTTCAGCCGCGGAAATTCTATGGAAAATATTTTAATACAATAAGTTGTAAAGAAAAATAGAATTTTATTGACTTTTTCTAGAATATTTTCTACTGAACATTTCAATAGAATCGGCCAAAAATTAATAGAAAGTTCAATAAAAATCCAATAGAATTGTCTAGCGAATTCGCTTTCTTAGAACTTAATGACGATATCACTGAAAATGAGCGATAATGTCACTAAAAATAGATTACAAAATCACTGACTTTGAGAATTTTGTACGCGCTAAATTTCAAAATCGCGAATCCCAAAAATTGGGGATGGATCCGCAAAAATGAAAACCTTGTTTTGCTCTGTAAAACTTGAAATATGAACCTCTCGAAGAAATCCTTGCATTCGCTTCATTCAATTACAGGGAATAGCTTCAACATTCATCCTGAACAACCTGGAGCGACGAAAGGACAAATTAAAAACCCAATTAGTCTGGATCGGAGCGCAGAAGGAAGCCTCGATAACAGCAAGAACTTGGCGATGGGTCGATGGTTAGTTGAGGTCTCATTCACGCGCAAAAATATTCAATTTCCGGTAATTAAGTATCCAGCGTAACGTAAGTCTCTCCCACGATCGATTCAAGCCAGTTTGATAATGATGATTCGAACGAGGCGATTGTGAGAATTGGGTCGACAATATGGGTGTTAGGTAATACGTAAAAAAATATATCTGAGATGGGGTACATTGAACTCGTAACACGTGTGTGTGTACAGTGACTGGATCGGCTACACGCTAGAGTCATACTAAGTGATCATAATTGAAGGGTTTCTGTGAAAATTCTAGCTGGCGGTAATCACGATTATGCAATCACTTTGCTAACGTGTGTTTAGACTATTTATTAGATAATTGTAGGCACGTCAAGATCGAGAAAAAAAGCTGCAATACAACTATTAAAAAATGATAATTTTTCGAAAAATAGCTTTGAGAGTTTGAATAACGACTGTTCACCCGGAGAAACCGTCACGTTTGAAATTTATGCCTCAATGATCGGTATAAATATCAGGGCAAAATGAGTCGTGAAAGTAAATGCTCATTGTGATTCACAGGAAGTTGCACCTTTCGTGCTCAAGTGTCCATATAAAATAATAGAATGGGCCTGTACTTTGAAATACCTCAGCGACAAGTGTCGACTGCAAGCGATGGACAAGTTGATGATAAAACAAAACAAATTTCACAATTTCTTACTTTACCATTGGGGTTTTGTAATTTAGGAGAGACTGTGCATAAACCGTCATGGGGAAAGGATCAGCCGAATAATTACAATGGTGAGCAGAATTGCGTGGTGCTTGATGGAGGGAGAAGCTGGCTTTGGAACGATGTTGGATGTAATTTGGACTATCTGCACTGGATTTGTCAGAGTAGTGAGTGAAGAATTCTCTAGTTCCTGTCTGATCTTTACTGTTTTAACTACTTCACAGGTTTAACGTCAGTTCAACTGGAGATATTTCATCCTAATAGCTATGTCAATGTCATTTATTGTCAATTTCTGACAAAAAAATGAATAGAAGCTAGATATAATAGGAACGCGATATCATAGGGATTTTTTATTTCAATTGAATAAAAATTGAATTGAAAGTTTTCACTTTTTGAAAATTTCTATGACATTTTAGTTCCACTGAGATTTCAAGGAATTTCATCATTGTAAATTTCAGAACAGTGACACTGAATGCGATTTAGGGGAAAAAATCATGAAGTTTCAGATTTCACTGAAAATTCAATATAATTTGGCACTGAACATTTACATTAGATTGGAAATTCAAATAAATTAAGGAATTATCGTCCTTATACTACTTAAAATTCTGGAATTATATTTTCCCTCTTAAATCGCATTCAGTGTCACTCTCCTAAACATTACTAGTCGACTATCCCTGAAATTTCAATTTTTTCCAACAGTGTTCATAATATTCCATGTGACGTCTCAAGTAGCTTTAAATTCACCAAAACCAAAGGAAGAGGATGAAGTGTCCGATGTCGAATTGTCGTTAGTAGAACTGTCTTTTCAACCCTTCGCAATTAATAACTGTTACATCACCTCTTTTAGAACCCTCTGTCTGCGGAAGCCCCGAAAAACTCGAGAACACAACGATTTTGGGGACGAAACGTTCAATAGGGTCTACCATCGATTACACCTGTCCAGATGGTTACATGCTAGTCGGTTCTAAATCGAGAACATGTGAACCGAACGGCTTCTGGAGTGGGGAGCCCCCCTCCTGCAAGTTCGTGGACTGTGGGTCACTTCCAGACTTCGAAAATGGACAAATAACCCTTACAAATAAACGAACGACCCACGGGGCCTTCGCTGATTACGTCTGCAAGAAGAATTACACTCTTGTTGGTGACGCTAGGAGGAGATGTGGGGATGGGGGAATCTGGAGTGGACATCAACCGCAATGTCTCTGTGAGTCACTCTTCCAAACTCTCGTAATCTAATCGTTACATCGTGGGTCTGATATTTTATTGTTTGTTCCCCGCAGTCGATTGGTGTCCCGATCCCCCGGATGTCACAGGTGGTGTAGTGACAACGACCGGTAAACGTGCCGGCTCGATAGCTACTTACACTTGCCAGAGTGGCTTCATTCTTTTCGGTGACAACGTAAGTGCCTCCAGCAGGAGAATAAAATAATAATCGCATGCCTCATCATTACGCAAACAGCGTCCTTGAGACGTGCGTCAATTAACGTCCAGTATTATTACTATGTTTTTTTCAGACGATATTTAGAACACTGGAACGCTGAATTGCAAATGTGCCAAGAGCGTTGGTTTTAATGTCTATATGAGATTAAAGAACCGTTCTGTAGTCTGAGAATCTTGAAATGTCTTTACTTGGAGAGGATTAACTGTTCATTCTAAAAAGAACAATTCGTGGGTTCTTCCTTTCGAATGGAAGATTTGTAAGCGGTCAAATTCAAGTTTAGGATTTTCTGTGGTTTATTCACTCAATGGTTTTTAATGCAGACTTCCTTTAATTGTTCGCTAATGGGATTTGATTCGTGTGTTAATTTTTCGAATTTTTTAAGTTTCTCAACCGTCGGTTATCCGACGATAACTATAACGAGAATGTTATGTGTCCGACTTGAGCGAGTTTAAAGACGAAGGCGATAGGAATATTCGTTGGTTTCATTTACAGCATAATTTTCGAAAAATACGGATTTTCTGCAAGAGGAGAGGGTTGCAAAATCTATTCTAGCCACCCTCGTCCCTCCGCATGCATGCGTTGTGTAAATAAAAAATAAAATTGTTGAGTGAAGAATTTTTTTTCGAAAATTGAGACTTCACCAGCGGGTGGAGGGGAGACGCATGGCTGCAGAGGTATGATTCGTGAAGAGAGAAGAATTGGCACTTGCCTCTACAAGAGTGAGAGGATAAAGCCATTAGGAATAGAAGAAGAATGATTCGTGTAAATTCCGTCTCACTCGTATCGAAATATACTATTTCTTCAGCCAGTCACGAACATTATTCTTCGTCATGAAAAAAATAACACGAGGAATTAAAGAGGAAACATAATTCAATTGAATAATATTTTAAAACACCGTACTATGAGGAGATGAATTGCAAAATGTCCATTCGGAGGTGTATTGCTTCTTTATTATCAAGAATAGCTGTACTATAATAAAGACAAAAGCAATTACCGACTCGTTTTGCATGAAATTAAACAACGGTTTCGTATTCTGCGAATCTTGGAATGTCCTTCGTCTGGGAGGATTAACTGTTCATTAAAAAACAACGATTCATGGCATGTTTTTTTGAATTCACAGATACTGACGTGTGAAATTGGAGGCGGTTGGTCGGGCAAGGCGCCCCAGTGTCGCTTCGTCGACTGCGGAGCCCCGGCACAAGTTGAATTTGGAACTGTGGAATTGGTTAATGGAAGCACAACTGTTGGAAGTTCAGCGGTATACACGTGCCAGCAGGATTATTGGCTAGTGGGTGAACGGAGGCACGAGTGCACCAGGGAGGGCAAATGGAGCGATGAGACACCATCTTGCGAGTGTAAGCCCATTATTATGACAGAGAGACCCACGAAATTGCGATTCGCTCGATGAAACTCGAAAAAGTTTAAATTGAAAAATGGATTTGTGGTTTCAGTAATCACGTGTGAAGAACCGGAAATACCACCGGGGAGTTACGTCGTGGGGTATGACTTGAATGTACACAGCTCGATTCTTTATCATTGCGAGTCTGGATATTTGATGCACGGAGAGGCGAGACACACGTGTGAGAAGACTGGCGAATGGTCTGGACAGGTTCCAACTTGCGAATGTTAGTGAACTTCTGCTTTTTGCATTTTCATTTTCACAATAATAATTGGACCTGACAAGTTCTGCTTAGGTCTTTCCGTTCAGAACTGGATAGGACTTGGGAAGCCTCCTCCCAAGTGCTTCCGAGACCTTTCTACCTCTGGTTATGTCCTATTTCAGCACTCGTTAGGTGTAAGCAGGACTTGTATTCAGACTTTCCAAATCCTTGCCGATCCACGTAATTCTATGGGCCTATATTAAATCCGGGTTCATATCCCCGTTTACGCATGCGCTATTGAAATAAAAATTGTACTTATTGTTTTTTTTTTAATCTTCAAAATCGACATTTCACGAGAGGGCGGAGGGGAGACGCATGCATACGGAGGCTTGATATTTTTACTCAACAAGGGGAGAAGGTTGGAGAATCTATTCTAGCCACCCTTGTCCCTCCGCTTGCATGCGTTGTCTAAATAAAAAATTAAATTGTTAACAAATCTGACCCTTGTTCCGAGTGAAAATGAAAATGTTTTATTTCGACATTTTTGGCGCCTCCGAGGGTGTCATTGGCATTAGAGCAGTCAATAAATATGGAATCACCATTCACTTGGCGAAAAAATTCGATTTTGCCAAAAATCGACTTTCCCCCGGGAAAAATTCAAGAACTGACACTTTGGCACCGGGTGAAAAAAAAAATTTATTTTGACATTTCTAGCGCCTCCGAGGGTTTCATTGGCATTAGAGGGGCTAATAAATACAGAATCAACCTTCACTTGGCGAAAAAATTCGATTTTGGCGAAAGTCGACTTTCCCCCTGGAAAAACGGAAAATCTGACCCTTTGAAAATCTGAAAAAAAAAACTTTTTCAGTTTTCACTTTTTCCACATACTTTTGAGAGTTCTGAATAGCCCGTCGCTTAAATAGTTGGAATCAACGTTCACCCGGCTAAAAAATTCGATTTTGGCGAAAGTCGACTTTCCCCCTGGAAACCGAAAATCTGATCCGTTGACTCCGGGTGAAAAAAAAAATTTTATTTCGACATTTGTTCAACAGAAATCCAATGAAATTTTCTAGCGAATTACCTCGATTTTTTATCAAACTCTCGCGTATGCGCAATGCATTGATCGTTTTAATCGTTAAAAAATTCTAGACATCGATTGTGGAAAAGTTCTGCCGGTTCCAAACGGAGCTGTCGATTATGTCAACAGCACAACACATTTAGGAAGTGAAATCACATACAGTTGTACCCGAAACTATCGATTGAATGGCGTAACTAGGAGATACTGTCTTGATAATGGGCAGTGGAGTGACGCAACACCGAAATGTGAAGGTAAACCTATTGCCCACGAAAGTGATTAATGACTAATTCAGTAGATTAATATAGCGTCACGGTCATTTCGGTACAGAGATCCGGTGTCCTGAGCCAGTCCTTGCGGAACACGGAATTCTGTCAGTGACTGGGAACGATCGAATGTACGGCAGGACATTGATCAGAACAGGCACTGCTGAGAATTCAAATACTGGTGCGACCTCGTACAAAATTGGTGCACTCGCTAAGTACAGATGTGAGAGGGGGTACAAGGTCATTGGTGAACCACTGTCAACGTGCGAGGATAATGGAAAGTGGAGTGGGGACGTGCCACAGTGCATTTGTAAGTCAAATTCTTACTTTTTAGGAAGAACAATGGAATTTTTTGTTGTTTTATGGAATTTTGAATTTAAGATTTATATGAAATGTTTCTTATGGAATAGAGTCATGAAATTTAGAAGCAGAATAGATGATATTGTGTTTTATTTCCTTCATTCTGAGAGAAAATGGAAGAAACGGGAATGAAAAAAATTGCAGAAAATTGTGAAATTCTTGACGAATTTGCTAATTTTGTTCTATGAAACAATTCTATTTAAGCAAACAAACAACATGAAATGAAGAAGAGGATAAACTGTTGATGATTTTTGAGTAACATTTTCGGTATATTTCTTGGAAATCTGTATCACATTGTGGTTCCATTGAAATTTCAAGGAATTTCGTTATTAAATTCTCCTTTTTTTGAAGAACAATAAAATTCGTTGTTACTTTATGAAATTCCGAATTTCAGATGTGCATAAAATGTTGTTTATCTAACATAAATCATGAAACTTGAAAATAAGATAGATGATATTAGATTTAATTCCCTTAATTTTGATTAAAATTAAAATTATAGACAATTATGAAACTTTCGATGAATTTTCCAATTCGATTCTTCTATGAAACCTATCACATGCAAACTCATGGAATAAAGAACAGGATAGACTGTTAAACATTTTTGCTTCCACTTTGTAGTTCCACTGAAATCAGTGGGAACTATAAATTTCAGTTCAATTATAAAAGAAAAATTGATGGGAATCGGGAAAATGCATCAAATTTTATAATCCCTCGGCCCCTAAATCAAATTCAATATCACTCCCTTGAAAATCACCAATCAATAGTCCATGAAACTTCAATTCTTTTCTAACAGCGTAGGTAAATGCCTGAATATTTCTGTTTTACATTCATTACCTCATTTACGCCAAAGACCGAATCCCGTGCAAAACCCAAATTGCTACATAATCCTCTCATGTTTATTAATTCTTTGGAAAAATCAGTCGTGGACTGTGGAAAACCCGAAAATACCCAGCACGGTCACTACACCCTGACATCAAACGCGACATACTACGGGGCAGCTGCTATCTACGAGTGCGATGGTAATTACGAACTCGATGGATTCGCCAGACGTCTCTGCCTCGAGAACGGCACTTGGAGCAGTGAGATGCCAATTTGCCGGGAAATAAGGTGCAAAGATCCGGAAAAAGTAGCGCCACTCGAAACACAAGTGTCAACACACAGTGTGGGCGGTGTTGCACATTACAGTTGTCCACGTGGGTATTACATGGAAGGAAATGGCACACGTATCTGTCTGCAGAACGGATCTTGGAGTGGATCTATGCCGGCGTGTTTCGGTAATTTTTCCTGATTTATCAGCTGGATATTTTTCGCAAGGTGCATTGGGAAAGACTGATTCTTTATGACTTATGACTTTTTCAGCGTTCGACTGCAAGCATCCGGGCCCGATAGACAATGGACGAGTTATCGTGGTGAATGGATCGACTCTTTTCAGTGGAGCTGCTGAGTATCATTGTTTACCGCAGTACGAGAGGATCGGACCGTTTTTGAGGAAATGCTTGGAGACGGGCGTGTGGAGTGGCGAAGAACCGAAATGCGAGAGTGAGTGGGAAATTATTACAAAATTATTGTCTTCATTTTGATGAGCAGTAATTCAGTAGCGAAGCGATGAAACGATAAGGGGATTTTTGTTATAACCTTTTTTGGAGAGCGAGTTGAGGGCTGTGAAAAAGGTTTTGGCAAATATTTTGTTGTCTCCCTTAAATTTCGAGATATTCATTGAAAACTGTCCTATGAATTGTTTTAAGCTATGAATTCCTTTGAAAGTCATGGGATATTCAAGAAATCATCATGAAAATGATGGAAATTTCAAGGATTAATTTATTTTGAACAAGAATCTGCGTGAGAAAAAAATTCAGGCAGAAACCTAGCGAATTCACTAGGAAATTCTATTGTATTTCTATTGCACTTTTTCTTGGTTGTATTCGGATTTTATTGAAGGATTCTGCATCGCATCTGCGCATTTTTAAATTAAAATAGTCTATAGAAATATTCTATAGAAAAGATCAATAGAATTTGATTTTTCAAGACAACTTTCAATTTTCTTTCAAATTCAGATCAACAGAATTTGATTTTTCTAGACAATTTTCAACTAGACAATTTTCCATCAAATTCACTAAGATTTCTCATGAAATTTTTTCGTGCGTGTCAACCCCCATTTAATGTACTTTTCTCTTTTTAGAGGAGAAATAAGAAAGAGTAAAATAAAAAATACAAAAATTTGATTTCTCCCTATCGGTCTTTCTGCATTTCCATTACAGTGATTTCGAACGAAGTCGCGGAGCAACAGGGAGTCGGCACAAGCGTAGGAATTGGGGCTGGTGTTATCATAATTATCCTCATAATACTGGGCCTCGTTTATCTACGACTGCGAAAAGCAACTCCCGTTAAAAATACCGAGAATGTCCAGGCGGCGGAGAGAAAAGAGGATCAGAATGCGGCGGTAATGTCGTACGCGAGTTTGAACGATGGAACGCCAAACAGAATGTACGAAAATGTCCCTGAAGATGGACTCTACGATAATCCATACAGCGTTAGTGGGAGTGCATACGGGTGAGCATGAAACTTCTCTTAGAAATTTTCAGAATTACACGCGGAGAATAAAGTTGGAGAAAATTACAGAACAAATCAAGTAATTGGGAAGCAAAAGCGAGATGAATAGTGAATTCCTCTCCACTGGCTCCAGAAAATTTTCTCAACTTGAAGATAATTTGTTCTGAGAGTGTAAATTTATCCGGAATTTCATTTAAAAAAGACTGCAGTGAAGGATTTTTTTTCCAAAAGTGCAAGTAAAGTAAAATTTCACGTTGTTGTGCCCCAGATCTGGTCAATTGTGTCATTGTTGAATATGCAGTGGACAATGCACAACGTATTTTTTATTAAATAAGATTTCACTCCACGATTAGGGGAGGGTGGACTCAAATGAACACTTTTTACTTTTTTAAAAATATTTATAACTCATTAACAGATTTATCAATTGAGCCCAGTCTAGGCTCATTACAAAGGGGACGAATCGTTCTTTCCATGAAAAAAAAAATTATTCCATTTCATCAACAATTCAACGCGTTATTAACATTTAAGAAAAAGTCGAAAAGGTCTGTTTTACCCTACTCTCCCCTACCCCGAATTAATTGGGATGTACCCCCTAATTTTTTGAGATTTTCTAGATAATTCCCCTCCAACTTTTCACTCAGTGCGAATAATTACAGATACGCCAATGGGAGGAGAATATACAACAGATCGGGGCACTACGAGGCCGAGCCGGGGCCGAGAAATGGCATCACCATAAATGGCGTGTCTGTTCGATAAGTTTTCTATTCAAAACCACAAAAAAACAATTGTTATGGTTAAGAATTAGCAATGCCTCATTATTTATAATCGATTGTAAATACAATTCGAATGACGATATGGAAAATTGTAGCAACGGAAGGAAAAGAAGAATAAAATTCTTCTGTTCTCAACTATTTTGGTCTTGTGGGAGGTTCGAAGACCACGACTGTAAGATTTGTGTATATATCATACCCTCCGATGGGTCTATTTTTCATAGTTTTATGTATTTTATTATTATTTCTGTAGACTTAAGGTGAATAAAAATGATATTGTTAAGTTTGAGGAGTGATATTTCACCCAGCCCACGATTGAGAAATATAAAATCCTACTGTATTAGAAAAATGGTATTGAAATTCCAAGTGGAAATTCTTGAAATTTTCGATAACGACTAATTCACATGAACTCAAATCAATTAATTTCTTGAATATTCAATAAAATTTTAATTTTAACTTCCAGACGACAATGACAATTGTGAAAATTCAGTAAATGTATTGAATATTCAATTGAATGTAGAGTTCAATCTTCATAATTATACTTTTAACATTTTTCTCCTAAAATTTTCGGTACACTTTTCGGTAATTTTTATTATATTTTAGTTCCACCGAAATTGCAAGGAATTTCGTCGTTGAAAATTCACCATTTCATGAAAAATTCGATGGGAACTCTAGATTTCAGTTCAATTATTGCAGAAAAATTCATTGAAATCAGGACATCAGGTAAATATCTTCTTGAATTCTCAATTAATTGAAAAATCAGCATAATTTCGTAGTGAGTATTCATGTTTTCAATGAAATCCTTATGTTTCATTCAAGTCAATTGGGGAATTCTCATCTCTCTGTTGTTCAAAAATTTGGAATTTCATTGAGTTTTCAATTAAATGTAAACTTCAATGATTTTTTCTGAAATTTCAATTTTTTTCCAACACTGCAGTTGAAAAATTGACGCAAATATCGAAATTTCCCTCAACATGAAACCTTAATTCCCTCGAATTCCCGAGATGAATGCGGAATTCCACCAACTTCATCTCGAATTGCATTCAAATTCCAAAAATTGCAGAAATAATTGGAGATATTTTCTGCGCCCGCCATCATGCATATCCAGATTAATGTGATTATATTTTTACCTGCACTTGACCTCGTCTTGTTGCAAAATCACGACCGCAATAGTTTGGTATTCTCATGTCCATAAAAGGAGATGAATCATACGATGGCTTTGATTCTCCAAATACGGAAATTGGAACGCGAAGAAAGGACAGAGTCTCTCATTTTTACTATCAATTCAGACCGCAATAAATTCCTCCCAAAGCTCCAGTAAAGGAACACTGGAAAGAATGAGTGCAGCGTCTCGTAAAAATCGAATTTTTCGGGGAAGAGATAAAGCTGGCAATGAAACCCGTGAAACCCCCGCGGAAAAGGGTCTGCGTCCTGGCGACTCGTTGTTACTTCTCACAGTTCACACTTCCGTCCCCAGATGTCACCAGAATTCACGCGAGCGGGTGTGGTGAATGGTTCACTCGTCGATCAGTGACGCGAGTGTTATTCTCTGTTTCGTACGCACGTATCAGACCCGATCTCTCGTCCCGATCATCTTTGGAGCATTTTGACTCGTAAGTGATTCACAAAACTTCACTCTAACCACAATTTATCGCTCCGAAATCATGCAGATACGCGCACAATAGTGGAATACAGATAGGAATGAGAGGGATTTAGGGAGCAAAGACAGGCCCAGTGGTAACGCCGCCATTGTGTGTACAGTCATCTCGGATGTAAAATAACGAGTGAAATACATTCCAACTGTTTGAGTCATCCTCAAATATTTATCCTCTGTCGAAAGAGTAATTCATCATTATTTTACTCCAAAATTTTTGTTTGTATTGGTGAATTTTTGTGGGGAGTAGGTGAAAATGGGGTTAAGGTTGGGGTTTCCAGTTTTGTTCAATCTGAATTACTTGGCTTTGTGTCATACTATGTATGGAAGTGGATGATCGTGGGGGGTGTCTCATTAAATTTTCTGCAATTAGTTCTCTTTACTAATCAAATGAAATTGCACAGTTATTAACAATCAGAGTTTTGGAATGGATTTGTGGGTGTAAAATAACGAATGAAATACATTCCAACCGTTTGAGTCATCGTCAAATATTTATCCTCTGTCGAAAGAATAATTCATCATTATTTTACTCCAAAAATTTTGTTTGTAGCTGTGGTTTTCAGTTTTGTTCACTCCAAATTACTTGTCTGTGTGACATTCTATGTAAGAAAAAATGTAGGAAAGTGGGAGATAATGAAGGAATTATCTCCCATTAAATTCTCTGCAATTATGTGTTTTCATTAACAATGAAATTTCATGGTTATTAATAACCAGAACGTTGAAACAAATGTTGTTTTTTAAAATAATGATTAAAAAATGTAAAAACAGATCAACTTGAATTAAATTAACAATCACATTAAATGCATCCCAGTTCGTGAATCTTCTTTAAATATTTATCCTGCATTAAACAAGACATATTTCATCATATTCCTCCCAAAGTTTACGTTTTATTCACTCCAAATTACTGTGGAAAACAATCAATAAATTATTACTCATTGCATTCTCTGAAATGAGATCTTTCAATAATTGCATAAACTTTCCGAACAAATGTACGTCAATTTGTTGCTTCTCCTATCAAACGAGAATATTTTATTTCTTCATTGCGAAGAATACACCTCAGACTATGCCCGTAAACCGGTGGAGTTTAACGACCCCTTTTCCCCTGTCAGAAGCCAGAAAGAATTATTTATATCCCAATCTCAGTTTCACTGAGTGAAAAGTTCTCTGTTGACGCTGGGAAACTTTAGAGGGCTTTGAATCCTAAACTCGAACCGTTTGTTTTGGTTCAAGAGTGAACGAATCGAGCCATGTCAGCAAGAAAGACAGCTGGTCGTCGTGGCACGACAAAAAAGAGGGCACAGCGTGCAACGTCCAATGTATTCGCTATGTTCGATCAGGCACAGATTGCCGAGTTCAAGGAGGCTTTCAATATGATCGATCATAATCACGATGGATTCATCGATAAGGAGGACCTCCACGACATGCTCGCATCTCTAGGTACCATCTCATTCCTCTGGAAGAGACAATTGTCGAGAGGAATTTATGTTTCAATATCGTGATGAATTTCAGGCAAAAATCCCACTGATGAGTATCTCGAGGGCATGATGAATGAGGCCCCAGGTCCAATCAACTTCACTATGTTCTTGACTCTCTTTGGTGAACGTTTGCAGGGCACTGACCCTGAAGATGTCATCAAGAATGCATTCGGGTGTTTTGATGAAGAAAATAATGGGCATATCAATGAGGAGCGGTTGAGGGAACTGCTCACTACGATGGGAGATAGGTAATCACTTCTTATTCATTTGATTGGGTTAATTGATCGTAATAATTGGGGGTTTACAGAATTTTTTTTCGGAGTTTTAAATAAAAATGAAATGATTGAAGAATATTGAACTGGTGTTCTGAAAAAAAATTACGAATAAAAAAAATTAGAGGGACTGAAAACAATTTTGGATTTTTAATTATTTTCGGAATGAAAAATACATATTTAACATTTCTAATTTTATTTGAGTAGTTCATGAGTTGTTTTGATGAACTAATTTAGTGTGAAACGTCAATAAAAATGGATATTCTTCACATGAAATTACCAAATTAATAATTAAATTGCAAAATTTCTTTGAATATAGGGCGATTTAAAAATGTGAGGTAGATATTCTTTTTAAGTTAATGAATAACGACTTCAAAACTTTTGAAAAACCTATGTATTGAGACTTCCTACTGCAGATTTCCCCAATTCTTCATCTCCAATCATTTCCAGAATGAAAAAACTACGAATTTAATATTCTTAGTTCTATTTAAATAGTTTACACCTTGTTTTGATGAAATGATTTTGTGCAAAGCCCCAATAAAAATCAATCAAAAAACCTCTAGACATGAAACTACCGAATTACCAATTAAACATTGAATGTTTTTTTCATCAGATTCACGGATGACGACGTCGACGAGATGTACCGTGAGGCCCCCATAAAAGGCTCAATGTTCGATTATCTGGAGTTCACCAGAATCCTGAAGCACGGAGCCAAGGACAAGGATGAACAGTGAAACAAACCCAGCATTTAATCCTCCCAATGCTTTCACTTTTCCTTGTAGTTCTCGAAGGCATTGGGGAGCCTCCAGGTCGTTATCTGCATCGAGGAAATCACTCGCTAAATTAAGGGATCTGGCATTTACATTCGTACGTATACACGCGATATCGGGACTCATAAATTCAATTCGTTCTCTGCGTTACTTAATCCTCGATGTCAGTATTGCATTTCTCTCGAATATCTGATTTTTTCCGGGCATTTTTTTCGTTCGAAATTGTCGAGTAAACAGTGTTCAGAGTAAATTTACACGAAAAAATTCGTCATGGGGAATTGAGTAAGCGTATGGACACTTGTAAAATATATTATATATGTTGATTATCTGTCGTAGAATCGGCATTTGTATTTTAATATAATGCATACTAAAAATTAGAAATCAGAATTGTTTTCTTATCCCTCAGTAATGTCCCTAAAGTGACAGTTCAACGACTGTTTTATCTGGTTACACGCCAGTTCATCTGGCATTTTATCCTAATAACAATGTCTCCATTTGTAAACAAAGATATTGGTAATCAGAGAAGATCACAAAATATTCCACTTTGCCCCGTCATTCCCTGCATTCTCCTTAATTCAATTTAATACCTCAAGGCCCATGTGTATCAACCAACTATCGAACGTGAGCTTGATAGTTTTTTTTTCATCATCATAATCTAAAATACTCTCCAATTTCCATTTAATTTTACATAGCGGTGAACTCTCCAAAAATTACAATTGTCTGATAAAAAAGAGGTGAAAAAAATTGAACCTTCTCGAAGCAAACCCAATAGAGGAAATTGGGAATTAGTAATTTACTGTATCTAATGACTAATAGATCGTCAGTTGCCATGATGAATTATCCATTTAAAATTTCTTCTCTATCGAGATTGTTCTCTCATCTCCATTAAAAACGCTCTTCGAAAAATCTTGAGTTTTTTTTCTATTTTTTTACTGTGCAATGATAATTTCTAGGGGTGGAAAAATCAAGTGATATGTATATTATAAAGTATTAACTATTGTGCTATACATATTGGAGAATACGAGTTGGTTTAATAATAAATAAATGTTTGTTAAAGAAATTGGGGCGAACAGAATAATAAATAAAAGGTACAGAAGAAGTAGCACGTCCGTGGACTAAAAGCAAGGATAAAAGAATAACTTAGAAAGAGACGATCGTACATAACAACCGTTGAGAGGGAAGAATACAACAAATACGCAACAAATCAGTAACAAAGCGGTAAAACGGTTCGAGTCAACTTACCTGAGTTTTCAAGGAATATCTCCGAATCTAATGGAGATAACGAAATTTTCGTAATGACCTTTTTTGTAGAGCGATTTGAGCCCCACAAAAAAGGTCATAACAAAAATGTTGCTATCTCCCTTACATTCCGAGATATTTACTGAAAACTCGTCAACAGTTAAAATCGACTTGAACCGTTTTACCGCTTCGCTACTGACATGTTTATTGTTAAGACCTGAGATTTACATGCCGAAAGGTTCGGAATATAAAGATTATCTTATCTATCTTATCTACCATAATCTTCAAGGACTCCTGCGTGATGTAAAATCAAATGGAAATTATGAGCTATTTAAGATCATGAAGATAAAACGAAATAATCGAGATAACATGAGGAAGATAATGCATGCGGGCCTCCATAAAACAGAAATTAAGTAATGCTATCTTGTGAGCATTCCTTGAAATTCTATCTGGTGTCTCAGAGAGTTTTAAATTCAGTAAAATCGATCTGTGAAACTGCTCTCAAACCAAAACCCTCGACGAAGAGCAAGAGAACGAAGTCTCCTATGACGAATTGTCGTGTAACCGTTTTACCTATTCAACCATTTCTGCTCGCAAAAAAGATATTCACCGAGGTGCCGACAGAGATGTTATGGCTCACAGGCTTCAGTGACACACTTTTTCCCCCCAACGATTCACCGTGACAAATGAGGATACCAGTTTTTTCATTCCAAAACCAAAGATCCAATCCTCCAAGTCCTTTTCATTCTTTTTGTCTGGACGGAGCCACGTCTTTCACTCTGGACCATTCTCCCTTGTATTGCAGCAAGTAACTCGAGCATGTGATTAATAAATAAATGAAAGGAAACAGAACAAGGGAATTGAATGAAAACATTTACGGTTATTACTCTATCTTTATTAGAAATTTCATGGTGAAGCAATTTCAAACGAAACAGTGGGCTTGTGATTGAGTTTTATCAGCTCCCATTGCCATTGGTAATTATGAACGAGATAATACACGCAAATGTACGACGCAGTTACCCAATTATATACCGAAGGCTTGAATCTACCGAAAAGTTAGTGAGTCATTCTTCATTGACAGATAGTTATTCCATCGTTATACTAAATTCGTGGTGGCCTCTATTTATAAATCATCCCTCAAGTCCAGCCCCTTGCCATTAGTTAAGGTATATCCCTGGAAAGCGGGTTTTTCTTACGATTGTCCCCACGTTTTTTATAGATAATGTTTATAATTGAGTAATTAAACGTTGTCGAGCTGCACGGAGAGAAATATTCAGTAAAAATTACGTATCTTTTCCGTAATTGTGGAGCGAAATGTGGTTGCAGGAAATTTTGCGGAAATGTCACGTAATTTTCAACTAACATCACGGAATTTTCCCAGGGCGTTCCGTAATTTTTACCTGCAGCTCTTGTTAAAAATTACGATAGCGTCACTTAATTTTTACTGAACATTTCTCTCTGTGTATGAATTTCATCTCCTGAACTCTCAGTGCTAAAAGTTCGCTGACATCTGAGGAATTACGAACGACCGCAAAGCCGAATAAAAAAATCGTTTAATGTTTATAATATTCTCCAGCAACTGAAAAAATTCTAACTAGCTGTACTACACAGCTTATGAGATTGAAATTAAGAATTGAAATTGTTAAAACTTTCGGAAACCTTATTTTTTCAGGCAAGAATCGGTTTCTGGTTTAATTCCGACTGTGAATAATTTTTTTACGATTGCGAACTGATGATTTTTACGGTGGAAAGTTGATTATTTATAAATGATTCAAGGAAAATGCACATAATTGGCAAAAATGGCAATTGTTTAATTATTTCATCGATCTTCCTCCAAAATTAAACTTTTAATATCCACATTCAAATTCGACCCGCAAAGTTTAAATAATAAAATCGTTGTCAACTGTCCGGAAACTGAGAGTCAACATTCGTTATTTATAAATAAATCATTGAAGTTGTTTAAACTTTCGGAAACCTTATTTTTTCAGGAATGGAATCGATTTCTGGTAAAATTCTGAATACGAATAAATTTGTTATAATTCCCAACAAGTGATTTTTCAGGTGCAAAATTCATTGTTTATAAACGATTTACATAAAATGCTCGCAATGTTAAAAAATCGCAAATTTTCAATCATTCCATTAATCTTCCTCCAAAATAAACTTTCCATGTTTTCAGATTTCTAAAATATTTTCTCACGGTTCAACACCGACATTCAAATTCAGACTTGCACACTTGAAATAATAAAATCATTGTCAAATGCGCGGAAACTCGGGGTCGAATCGGGCTCAAATGAGAGCTCCAATGTTCGCCTACAAAATAACAAAGGCCTCAACCGCTAATTACTCCATCATTATCCAAAATTCATGGTGTCCTCTACTTATAAATAATCCCCACCTCCCCGCTCGCCGTCATTTAATTCCCAAATCAAAAATAGAAACGTCAATGAAGTCTATTCGATCCGCCGGAGACAGTCGCACGTGTTCCGAGATAAACATTTCAATTTAATCGTCGAATGGCATCGAAAACCCCGCAGCTTTCTTCATCGAACCCTCCTTTTGAATCAAAAAGAAAAATGAATCTTCCGCACACACAGAAAACTACAACTTGAAAAAGTCGTGTTTTGACGCGAGTGGGGGAGTTAAACAGCGTCAGTGTTGTCCAGCGTCTGCGCACGGCGCTACGGTATAACCAATAGAGTCCGCAGTACTGCTTTCACGTTCCGACTGTGCGGTGTCTGTTCTGTTCCGTTCCGTCACTCCTTCGAACATCTCTCACCTCCACTCGCACGTCGAGAATTTGTAAATAAATAAGGGGTCAATCGGTGGTGGCGAAGGAGTACAGTATTTTGAATTGCCGGCGAACAGTGGCTCGGGTGAGTGCAACGGGAGTTCCCGGACGCCGGACCCACCTATACTAGGACCTCGACCTATCAACACAATTCTTTTTTTTTATTCCCTCCCTCTGCGGGAATTTTTGTGCCTTTTGTTCCTGGAGAATTCGCGTGGAGGGAAGGATTTGAGGAGGAAAAATGGTGGGGAGACGGCCTGTGCGGAGCCTCGCAAGGGGATGTGCGAAGGAATATCCGGGTTTTTAATCGATCACCGGGAAAAATAGGGACGAATCAATAGCCCAGTGCCAACGACCTCCGATCATTGAGATTTAAACAAATGTGGTGACGAGGGGTTTTTTAACTGTGATTTATCGGTGGGGGATCCATCGGGGAATACTGTGATCAGCTGTTTCCAATCGTTCTTTACATCGGGCCCATCCAGGTGAGTTCTCCGAACAAACATGAACATTATTTATTTCAATGCATCATTCATTGTTTTTTTCCCGAGGAGATTTAATTCGTTGGCATTTTCGGCATAACAATGGCCCGCCACTTCGGGAAGTTGTAAGCTCAAATATTTATTTCTCCTTTTTTTTTGTGGAGTGACAGCCTTGGGGTAAATGAAGTATTGATGTCCGTGTTGACGGAGCGATAAGACAAAAAGCACGTGACTGAGAATGCAAATAGAAACTTGGTGGGGCAGGCTCGAGGACTCGATTCCCTCCAATTAGGACAATCAGTTTCGTTTTTTTTTTTCCGCCTCATCTCGGCTTTTCTTATTAAACGGTGCATTCGCTCCTGGCAGTGTTCATTACCTATCGACACGATCTATCTTGAATGCAGTAAATCAGCGGCCAAGGCCAATACATACTTTGCAGCCATACTTTTATTATCCAATATTTATAGCTTCGCAGGGCATAAAGAGACCTGCGTAAAGAAGCCGACGGTTTTTACCTCGATTTTGTTTTCTATTTTTCCTTTGTTTATTTTTAGATCTTTTTTTTATTCTCTCGCTGGAGGGAAAATCACACTCCCTCGTCTCCACTGATACGTCATTTTGATAAACACCGATTCTTTTGGGGGACTCGCTTTTTGGAGCGGTCTCGTGACCTCAGTATCTGGGGCAATGTGTCCTCTATCAATTCCCCCAGGACACTCGGCACCCTGATAACGTAATCGTATGGTTTTCAAGTGGAAAATATCACTTCACTCGTGCATTCTAGTACGTGTTAAACTCGTAGTAATGAGACACCTCGAATCCTCGCTGTTGCGTAAGATGATTTTATCCGCGAGACAGATGAAAAATCCGAT